TTTCTCATAGGATTACAAGCAAATCTAGATGATAAATGTCAATTATTACGAAATCTAGGTCAAGAAGGGTATTATATGAACTACGTTTTATCATCTAACAAATTTTATCAAATAAATAATTATAAACATTAATACTAGTGTGGTGTTGTCTGCTTATATCCATATAAGTAGTGTATGGTGCTGGTCAGACATAGAATGTATTTTGACCGAAGATCGATAAGGAACGAACAGGAATGAAGCTCAATCGGTATGAAAATGCGTGAATAATAAAATCAGAGAAGATGGACCGATATTTGCTAAAGGAATAGTTAAAATTGAGACAATTGATGGTTATATTGCAAATTAGCTGTTTACTACTGTATGGTTATCAGAATTTAGTGAGATAGTTTTGTAATTTGTGCTTGAATACATTCGATTGTCCCCATTCGTGTTCTTGTTCGCTACACTAGTATCCTTGTTTTTAACTATCTAATCAATGTTATATTGATTAAACTGTGGGGTAATCATTTTCATTATTGATTACTGCCAAAAATATATATTCTGTCTCTCATATCAGTTACCATGGTGATCCTGGTAAATATTATTAATAATTTGTAAGTAAATAACTGTTGAAATAACTTCATTTCCAAACTTCATCATTGATATATATGTATTTTTTTCAAAATGAAAACACCTATTTTTTGCACATGGGAAGGATGAAAGAGTATTGTTGTTACTAAGTAATAACATGCAAATTAAAATTAAGATTAGGTCAGATCATTCATACATAAATTCAAAGCAATATGGATCTAATGCGTATTTGTTTATGTAATCTAATATTATATATAATTAAAAATGAAAATTTTTTAATATTCCTATCTTTCACAACGGTCATATGTATCTTTACTTAGTATTGTTTGTTTGGATCTTCCCATTGATGTTTTTAGGACTGCAACTGGTCAGTCTCTAATTGGCATATGTACATACTGTGCGTATTGCCTTGATATAGCCTAAATTCACAAGCATGATATGCAAAGATGGATAATGGCTAGCAGTGGAATCCAGGACGCGCGATGGAGCTTGAAGCGAACGGTACTGGGTTCGAATCCTAGAGTGAACATCAACTCTGAGATGCAGGTACATCCAACTGACGAGTCCCAAATAGGGCGAAACGCGCGTTCTGGATTCCACTACTAGTCACTATCCATCATTGCTGGTCCTGTGTATCGTTTCTTTTTAAAATGAAATATTTTTTTATCAGTATAGAATTGTGAAGATTATTGAGTTTAGATTGATATCATGAATGGGTTGATGCAGGATTGTGGATGCACGCTGCTGAGGAGTCCCATAATGCGACGAAACAGCTGTCTAATGCTTTTAGATTTTCAATGGTGGTCTAACATCGATCTATTTATAATATCGGTCTAAAATATTTGATTTGTCATTGGCTACTTGTCTGTCTACTATACTGAAAGCAACAATTACCTCAGATTTGTTAGTTTGAGTTCATTATTACATTTTGGTAATCCTCAGATAGCAATTACCAGTATAATAGTAGTCATAATAATGATGTGTTAACTAGTAGTAGCTGTAGTACTATAAGTAGTAATGTTATTAAACTGGATCCACCCGCATCTATATAAACATTTTCGTTATAATTCGAACCTGGTCAGGATTGTTTAAATTAATTAATCATTATTTATTCAAACGTTGAGTTATGCAAGTCATCATTTTATGTAGAGTATACAGTTTTATGGAAGTTATTAGGTTTTATTTCTATAAACAGATTAATGATTGGTAATCATTGGAGTGATAGCTATGGTCTATTATGAATCATGAAATGTATTGTGTTGAACGTTCGTTCAAGCCTGGTCTGGGTACACATACTTATCTTATTTGAGCCCAATGAGATATAAAAATAAGAAAACCAACAGTGTGTAGGAAGTTTTTATAGGTTAACGTGAGTCTAAATATATAAAGTATCTCACTCGTTAATACAAATATTTATTCCTCAGGAAATTAGGCCAAATTTTTAATTAATAGCGTTTGTCTGTTTCTTTTGGATAATCAACCAAGACCATAGTCGATAGCATACATTTATTAGTTGGTCATGTAGTTGATATCTCTGATGGTCCCAGCCTTTCAGGACTCAGTTGGGTTTAGAAGCAAAAACATCTGTTAAATCGTAATATATGAATATGAAACAGGTATAGGTTTGAATAGAGTTAAGGGTATTACTTAGCAACCACTCCTTCTATTTATGCAATCTTGGTAACAGTTGAGATTTTTCGTTATCCTTTGGAAATTTATCTTTGTAACCAAACACAATTACAGTAAGCAGCAAGAAATCTTCCTTACATGGTTATTTTACTGCTTTAAATCTTTCAGATTTTTCTTATCACTAGGTCTTCAGTACCTGGCAGAAATAATAAATCGACTGATGAATCAATGAGTTGAGATATCCATTACACACGTCTATTCATCGTCTTCACTAACATACTATTCTATTTTGTATTACAGTAATTTGACTAAACGTCTACGATTAGTGAAGTTAAAATCTGTTCATCAGAAAGCCTTGAATGTTTCCTAGATTAAGTACACGATATAATTACAATCGCGTTTTGATGATGTCAAATATGATAGATTAAGTTAAATCGTTATAGATCTTAAAGATTCATTTTTAAAAAATCTTACCCTGAATGTTTACAGGTTTTTTTGTTTTGAACCTTTTATTTACTTATTTCATTCATTCGTTCGTTCATTCCTTTTGAGCTATACATTTGCTTTGTATAGTTTTCTAACAACTAATACTATCATTATTATTGTTTTAACTTCTTAATTATTTCAATTTTTATAGTTGAATTCATGAGTTGATTTAAACAAAACCACCACTGAAAACCTGAAATTATTGAAATGCTGTTTAATCCTAGTAAGGAACTCCTAAACAGTGTGCATCCACGATCCCATACACGGGACTGGAACCCAGAACCTTCGGTCTAATGTGTGAACATTCGACCTCCAAAACACATTGATCTGGTATCCATTGGTGTTGATGTCTAACTTCAATCAATTTATGATATTGGACAACCATTCATCTATTGATTGAAGTGGATAACTGTCTCTACTATTCATAGCTTTTCACTAGAACTCCAAGAAATAAATCTTGAAGCTAGTCACCACTAGCGAGCACATGATTATTATTCAAACAGGAATTTGTGAAGATGGTAGTAATTTTAATAATTGAATTCATAATTCAATCTAAGCTAAATCATCATTGGAAATTCGATTAATGATTCTACTTATCAAGTTAATGTTAATGATTATTTACAATGAAATTTATATAGTTTAATACCACTTACTGATAGAAAGATTAACAATATTTGAACGAAGAATATTCTTTTCGATAAATTTTCCTCGGGCTCTACAATTACATACTTACTTACTTACGCCTGTTACTCCCGATGGAGCATAGGCCGCCAACCAGCTTTCTCCAACCCACTCTGTCCTGGGCTTCCTTTTCTAGTTCTATCCAGTTCTTGTTCATTCTTCTCATGTCTGTCTCCATTTCTCAGCGTAATGTGTTCTTTGGTCTTCCTCTTCTCCGTTGACCTTCAGGATTCCATGTGAGGGCTTGTCTTGTGACGCAATTAGGTGATTTCCTCAAGGTGTGCCCAATCCACTTCAAGCGCTTCTTCCTGATTTCTTCCTCTGCTGGAATCTGGTTTGTTCTCTCCCACAGTAACTTATTGCTGATAGTATCTGGTCATCGGATCCGAAGTATTTTGCGTCGACAGCTGTGATGAACACTTGTATCTTCTGCATAATGGCTTTCGTATTTCTCCACGTCTCCGCCCCATACAGTAGAACTGTCTTGACATTTGTATTGAAAATTCTAACCTTGGTGTTGGTTGACAATTGTGTTGAGCTCCAGATGCTTTTTAGTTGTGGGTATGCTGCTCTTGCTTTGCCGATCCGCGCCCTCACATTTGCTTCTGATCCACAATCTGATCTACAATTATATATCCATAAATACAAATACAATTATATATATCCAAAATGGTCAGGTTAAAGGCAAAGTACATCGTTTAAAGCATGTAAATTTAGGATTGTCAAACCATATAGGATAAAACTGTTAATATTGATATGACTCGTATAGAATGTTAACACTTGAATCCGTTTATATGTTAAGTGAAAATATTTAAGATCTGTGATCAGAATCAATATGGATCAGATAGGGTGAAAGAGATATGATAGTACAATTACAATTTGATCAAGTGGAAGATTAAATTGTATGATAAATTAGTAAGACGTAATAAAGAGGGATCAATGTGAAGTGAATGATTGACTGTATTATTAAGGATTTATAATTTTCTATTATTATTGTTATTCAGAATTAGAACTAATTCATTTCTTCTATCATATGTACATCTTAAGTGAATCATTTTGGTATATACTTAAATTGATAAATATCAAATAGGACAGAATGCATATTCTTGGATTCTACTATTATCAATAATCATTTTCTGGAAGCACTGGACTGCCTTTTCGTCCTCCACAAAACTCCTTTTCTGATAATGATCATATGCTCACTAGTGACTGACTTCAAGAGATATTTCCTGGAGTTCCAGTGAGAAGCAGAAATCAATAGAGTTCAACCAGGTCTGTTGTGAGATATCAACTCAGTGAAGACATTGGTGAATGGTTGCCCAATTTCGTGGATTGGTTGAAGTTATACATTAACATCATCAGATGCCTACTCAGTGGTTTAGTGGTTAAGCGATCACGCACGAAACTGATAGGTCCAGGGTTGGAGTCTCGTGCGTCAGGATCGTGAATATGCACTGCCAAGGAGGAGTCCCACAATAATAGGAAATAGCCATCAAACAGTGCTTCCAGGTTTTCGATGGTGGTTTAGCTTCAATTGACTAATGATTTCAACTATATGAAATTACTAAAATCTCCACAAAACCCCCTTTTGATAAAGATATTTTTTTTTAACTCATGATTTTTATTTATTTCAGTGAAAATCAATCAAAATTTGTTAATCAACGTGTTCATGAAATTGAAACATTTTTTGGTAATTTATGCTCTGAACTTGTTAGTTATACAAGACGTACATCTAAATTAAGAAATAATGGTAAGTATAAAAATATCTCTTTCTCTCTCTTTCTTACACACACACACACACACACACACACTTTCTCTCCTTATTATTCCTTCCCCCCCCCTCTCCCTTAATATCTCATTATCATAATTACTATTAATCATTTTATTTATTTCTTTTATAATAGGTGATGAAATTGCACGTATTCTATTAGATTATTCAAATAAAGAACAAATTAATCATACTACATCAAATGCTTTAAGAAAAGTATCCGAATATTTTGTTACCCTTGAAGATTATCGTAATACTGAAGTAAAAAAGAGAAAAAAAATTTTTTTATTTTATTTTTTAATTTCATTATTTTATTAGATTGATCGAATTGTTGGTAAAGTTGTTAATCCATTAGCTGCTTATGGTGAAGAAATTAAACATATCAAAGTAGGTATTGTGTATTATTTTTTTTAAAAAAAAAATATTTTTCTCTTTTCTCTTTTTCTTTTCTTTTCTTTTTTTTCTTTTTTTTTCTTCTTAAATATTTAATTAAATAAGAATAGTTTAAAAGCTGAAAGTGCAGCACGTAGAAGAGAAATAATAAATATGCGTAAATTGGAAAGATCTAATACAATACAATCATCTAGAGAGGTAAATAATTATAAATTTTTATAGAAATTTTGATTATTTTTGTTGTTGTTATTGTCATGATGATAATTATCAGAAGGGGTTTTGTGGAGATTTTATTAATTTATATCTGATAATAATCAGGTGCTCACTAAAGACTGACTCCTTGAGGTATTTCCTGGAGTTCTAGTGAGAAGCAGTAACCGGTGGAGTTCAACCAGATCTGTTGTGAGATATCAACTCACTGAAGATAGTGGTGAACAGTTTTTCACTTTCATGGATTAGTTGAAGTTAGACATTGACACCGTTGGATGCCGGCCGGCTCAGTGATCTAGTAGTTAAGCGCTCGCGCGCGAGATTAATAGGTCCTCAGTTCGAATCTCGTTAGGCGGGATCGTGAATGAGCACTGTTGAGAAGTCCCACAATAGGATGAAACGGTCGTCCAGTGCTTTCAGGTATTTCACCCAAAAGCTTGGAAAGTAAATGATTGTGCTTATACTTTACAATTGGTGTTCTTCTGTGATGACTGGTGATAATCATATTAATTTACTATAAAGACTATGGAATTCAGTCAGCGTAATTACTTCACTTGTTTAGTTAAATTAATTTGTATTAATGAAAGGAATTTAAAAATAAAATGAGGAATAGATGGAATGTGGCTAACAGTGGAGTCAAGGACGCATGTTTCGTCTTATTCCTGACTCGTCAGTCGGATGTGCCGGCATATCAATACTTTTCGCTTTAGATGCCAGAGCATTATCTACTTAGATATTGGGTCCGGATAGCCATTCACTTGTGAGTATCAATACTGGGATGTAGGTACATCTAGATGATAATTCCCGAATAGGACGAAACATGTCCTGAATTCTCATACTAACCACTAAACAAATCGCGCTTGAAGGAGAAACTCTGGAAGAGATGAAAAGCTTTAAATACCTGGATAATATCAAAGATAAAGAAGAATGATATGATTCAGATATGTAGGCAAGGATTAGCATAGCAAGGACAGAATTCTTACTATCGAAGAACATATAGAACTCAGTATAACTGTCAGCCAACATCAAAATCAGAATTTTCAATAAGAAAGTCAAGACAGTTCTACTGTACGGAGCCGAAACTTGAAGAACTACTACAATCATCATCATATAAGTATTGTTACTTACAAACAATTTTCTATGCAAGATACCCAATATTCGTTGGCTAAAGACCATCAGAAACAACGCAATGTGAGAGGAAATGAACCAGCTTCCAGCTCAAGCAAAAGTTGAGAAGGGATTCTGAAGGTGGATAGGACACACATTGCAAAAATCACCAAATTGAATCACGAAGCAAGCCATGACTTGGAATTCTGAAGGGAAAAAGAAAAGGGGAGGCCTAAAGAACACATGTACTCGTGAATCGTAGGTAGGCATCAAAAGAATGGATAGCCATGGAAAACAACTGGAAAGTATTGCCCAGATAGAGTTAGTTGGAGATTGCTGGTTGGCTGTCTATACTCTACCACGAGGGATAACAGGCGTAAATAAGCAAGTAAATAAAAGGATTAGACAAACATGACGTTATTTACAACTAAGTATGTAATGGATTGTACAACATAAGTATTGTTTCAATCTTCTAAGCATTTTAACGAATCTCTTTTATTATTTTCACTAACAATAACAATGTCAACATTAAATTCAGCTTAGTATTGTTTGTTTGGATCTTCCCATTGATGTCTAGGACTGCAACTGGTCAGTCTGTTATTGGGCATATGTGCATACTGTGCTTATTGCGTACTGGGTTTGAGTCTCAGAGTGAACATCAACTCTGGAATGTGGCAGGTACATCCAGCCGACGAGTCCCAAATAGGACGAAACGCGCGTCCTGGACTCCACTGCTAGCCACTATCCATCTTTGCTTACAATGTCAACATTGTTTCGATGTTTGTTTTATTTAACGAGTCATGGACCAATAAAATTCTTTAAGAAAACAAATAATATCAAATCAGAGTTATAATAATCTAATGATTATAGGATAGACTAAATAACTGTTTTTCCTTATTATTGAAGACTAAATCAGGTGAGATGGTTGATAGATAAAATTAAACTAAATGATTGACAACTGATTGTTGAAAGCACAATAAATCATAAAATGTCATCTAACTGCTAGGTATTATGAAAATTTTAACAGAATTTTTAATATCCTAAGTAGATCTGGGTAGTGACTAATAGTAGAATTTAGGACAAGTACTACATTTTGTTTATGACTTGTTAGCTGAACATACCTAGATTTGAGTTGATTTTCCTACTGAAACTTGAACATATTACCTTCGACTACAGTTTAATTGATTGAAATCATTCGGTTTGAACATTGTTTTGAATGAACATCCGTCACTAGTATCACAACAGCGCGAGACAGCAGTTAAAGATCAATAGTTTTTAGTATATGGGCTAAGACTTCTTGTTCGTTTGTAAGGGTTATTTGAATTTTTCCGTTGTTGACCTTATGAGCTACTATTGGTTACTTTTTTTTGGGATTCAAGTCTTTGCCTTGATATTGCCACTAAGTCACACACATTTTGAGGATAGTTAGATAGAGGGTAGCAGTTAAATCCATTGTACATATCTCGCTCTATTCAGGACTCGTCAAATGACAATTCCAATAAACCAGCGTTGATGTGTCACAGAGGAACTCGAACCCAGTACCTTTTGATTCAACTGATTTACTGAGTCTAGATACCCGTTAAAGAATTTGACGGGTATACCGTTTATATCATACAAACAAATATTAATCGAAATTGAATCCCATATATTAACCAGGCAATAATTCAAATCTTTACCAACAATGATGATTTAAATCTTTCGTAACTTCAAAAATCTTTGTGACATCGTAGTATATTAATCCTATATGTTTATCAATGATTTGGAAATACTTTATAGAATGTCTATAAGTTCTTTTTCTGAATGGTGTTCTTAATTATCAAATGAAAAAAACACAATAACACTCATTTCCCATGGATTTGCATAATTACTTTGTCTATGCTCGAGACTGATAGGTCCTGGGTTCGAATCTTGTTAGCCGAGGTCGTGGATGCGCACTGCCAAGAAGGAGTCTCACAGTAGGACGAAACGGCCATCAAACAGTGCTTCCAGGTTTTTGATAGTGGTCTAGCTTCAATTGACTCATGATTTCAACTATGAAAATACTAAATCTTCACAAAACCCCTTCTGATAATAATTCAATGTGTTTATTCAATATATTTTACCGTTTCAAGTCAGGTAATATACAATTAATTGCAAAAGTATGTTACTTCCCTCCCCCCCCCAAAAAAAATACAAAGTACAATTTATTTTATTACAATCAAAAGCACGAAATAGGACATTGGTGACATTAGAAGTAGTTATTGCTAAAAATAAAGATTTATGAACTAACTTGGTGATTTTAAAACTTATAAAGTTTATTATGATTCTAATTACTATTTTAACTGGCAGATTTAAACTTGTTGACAATTAGTCATATATGAGGTCAGTTTCCATCTAGAATAGCTTAGTGGTTATACCTTAAACTATGAAATTGAAAGGGGGATAGCTCGAATCACTAAGTGAACATCAAACCCATTTAGATTGTAAGTGTACATTGCTAATTAGTCATAACTAACCCAGAAACTTATGTCAAATAGGGTTATCCTGTCGACTAATTTCAATACCTGACTTTAAAAGATTAATCAATGCTGTACTCCAATGCAATTCTACTTATATGTAGCTGTTATCGATTAGTTTTTTCATCCTAAAATTACTCACTCTAAAAACTCATATTGTTAGTTCAATTTAGTAACCGTGTGAACATTATGTGGATTCTTATATTTTATGATTATACTAATATGATACTTTGATTTATAGAAGAATATTTGGGATTATCACTGGGTGGTGATCAATGTCATGTGTGTCAAGTCCTTCTTAGTGCAGATCGAATGCAAGTTGCAATGTGGCTATTAGTCTAGGTAGTTTGACACCGCGTGCACTATGTTGAGATAAGATGGTGGTTGAAGGTGGTATAGATTAGAATTGTCTGATATTTACATTTTATTTTCATAATACTTTTAGTAAAATGCTAGTTGACTTTATCAGTGCAAATCAACTTAATTATTTGTTATTTGGCTGGAGGTAACCACGAGAAACCTTTAGATCAATAATAGATTTCTGTATGCACAACTTTCCTTCTTCATCCTGGCTTTTGACCGGTAGTACTCTTAAAGGGGCTTCAGGTAAATTTTTGGTTAGCAATATGTATGTACAATTTTTGATGAACAAATTCTTAATGTGAGATTCATATCTACATCACTCAAATTTACAGTCTAGGAAGCTATCGTTAAGCAATTCAGGCTAATCTTTGGATAAATGGTTAGCTGTATAGGTTATCATATTTCACAAACATATACCATTGCACACTTATTATTTACATCATTGAAAGATATATTGTATTTCACTAAAAAGATGATATTTTGTCTAAGAGATTATTATCAGAAGAAGTTTTTGTGGAGATTTAGTATTTTCATAGTTGAAAGCGTGAGTCAATTGATGCTAGACCACCAGGGAAAATCTGGGAGCACCGGACGGCCGTTTAGTCCTATTGTAGGACTCCTCAACAGTGCGCATCCACGACCTCGCCTAGCGAGATTCGAAACCAAGGCCTACCAGTTTCGCGCCAGAGCACTTAACCGATAGATCACTGAGCCGGCAACCGGTGAACGGTTGCTCAACTTCGTGATTTGGTTGGATTTAGACATAAACAACATCGGATGCCGGCTCAGTGGTCTATCGTTTAAGTGTTCTGGCGCGAGACTGGTAGGTCCTGGGTTCGAATTTCGCGAGGCGAGGTCATGGATGCGCACTGCCAAGGAGAAGTCCCACAATAAGAGATTATTGTAAAATTCAGTAGTATATATATAAACAAAGAAAAGTTACTCTATAGTTTCATTTAATTTTTATTTCTATTTTCTTTATGTTTAATTTTAGAAACAACCTAAGGTTGGTTCCATCATAAA